TTGTTCAATGTCGGATTGGCTTGGTAAAAATTAATTTAAAGACAATTTAGTCGTAAGTACCCAAATAAATAAATAAATAAATAAAGGGGAAATGATTAGCTCAGTAGATAAGGTTCAAAGGCAAACAATTCTTTGTAAGTAGAAAATTAATAGAACAATAATTTTTAAAAGGGTAATGATTCAGCGGACGAAGACACATGACGAAAATGGGAGACGATAAGTGAGGTAAAATTTATGTATATAGTGTAATTACCAATTTGACTCCCTTACATCACTTGTCGTCCCCCATTTTTGTCTCGCATTTTTTTCCGCTGAATCATTATTCTTTTTAAAATTGAAGACCATTAAGAAATCTTTTTATTTAAAATATTAAGAAGAATAATAAAAAAAATTAAAATATTTTTAATAAATTAATAGATAAAAAATTTTATTAAAAATATTTTAATAATTTTTTAAAAAAATTCTCCCACTTTACAATAAAAATTCAATAAGTGTGAGAACATCTTCTTCTTTTTTTTTTTTTTCCTGGTAAGTATTATTATTGAAAAAAAAAATAGTAATAGTATGTATTAGCTCTGCTTTCTATGACCGACATGTCTCGTTAGTTGTTAGTTAAGCTCAGTATTCTTTTATTTTCTGCTCCCTCTTTTTTGAGCTGCCCTTAATTTTGTTTTTCTATGCCTGGCTACATCGATTACTCAAGTTTCAATAAATTCTTTTCTTCTGCTGATAAAAATGATATTGATAAGTCTGATCGATGCTCTCAATTTTTTGTTGGTGGTACAAGGAGAGGGGAAAAGGGAAAGGAGTTTATGTTTATCTCAAATTCAAAGCTTGAACTTTGAGATAATCACCAGTTAAAAAGAGTTGGTAAGCCACTTGCTTCAACAGTACTTGTTAAACTACCAAAGATATTCTGGACTTATAACACCAGATATTTGCTTTCTTGAAAACACACTAAATTTTGGTCCATTTGATGGTAAGTACTGCGATTCAACATGGATGGATCTCTCCCTTTTCCAAATTCTTACATTCAAACTTAAGACCAACAAAGAAGCTAAAGCTTTTAATTATTATTATTATTATTATTATTATTATTATTAATCTTAGTTGCATAATAGAACGTAATCATCTCTCATCACTTATTTCATCCCATCAGCATGACATGCAACTTAAAGTCAAAATCCTTTATTTTTAGCGGAAGAAAATAATCACTGAATTATTTAGATCGTTGATACTTTTAATTATTATTAAGAGACCTACAATGGTATAATTTATAATTTGGTGTAATATTATAAGTTTATAATTATAATGTGTTATTAAATAAGTAAATAAATATAATATTATAAGTAAATTTATAAATAAAAATAATTAATTATGTAATAATATATTGTGTTGTAAATTTATAGTGTAATATAATATTATAACTTTATCATTGTTGTTAAGAGACATCACACTTAAAAACAATGATGGGATTGAGCAAAGAGCCAACCGAATAAGGATATCTTTGCAAGGAGATGGATGCTTCTGAACCCCATTTTGGAAAATAACCAAAACAAGGAAACATTTACTAATAAAAAGAGAGGGAGGACCCAGGATCCAAAAAACTACCATTCTTCTCCCCATGAAAAATAGTGCTAAACAAGAATTGCAGTGAATGTTGCTAATGGGGAGAGTCTTACATTTAAGTGCTTTACAATCTGATATAGTTAATTTTATATAACTTGTAAGTATATTTAAAAAAATTAATTTCTTTAATACTAATATTAAGACTTGAATCTCAAACATAACCCATAAAGTTACACTTATTTGCTAATGAAAGTAACCCTTTGATTCTTAACCCAAAATGTACAGGGGAATTGATGGGGTGCAAGAATAGTTCAAAATAATTAGAGAACCATCAGTTACGAAATGTTGGCTTTTTGTTTCATTTTCCTAAGAACATTGATCCATGGTTACACACACCTGCAAACTGAAATTGGAAAGCCTTCTTAAATACAATCGCAACAACTGTTATGACAGGGGGAAAACAACAATTGATCTTAATTAACTCGGTTAAGGAAATAAAAAGGACCAATTGTCAATTTGTCATTGACGATATGGCAAAAATTTATACAATGATTAGGTTTCCAAATGTTTATAATTTTTGAAGAGAAGCATGGGTTTGGGCAAAAGCCAAAGAAAGGCGGATAAATTGATGAAGGAATGATAGCACACGTGAAAAAAATATATATATTGCAGGTCATGCAGGGGGAGCGTCTTCTCGTGTGACAAGGCTGGACCACTACAGTCTGGCTAATATCAATAAGAAGACGCTCCTCCTCTTTCTACACCCATCCATCCAGTGTAGCCAGACCCACTTTCTAAATATAATATGCCCATAAGAATGATACAATAGATATTATTATAGGCGTGTTGGTATTGTGATTATTAAAAAAATATTATGTAGTTTAGATTGTACT